TGCTTTGCCCAGGGTAAATGTCACTTTGCACTGACTGGAATAGCTACCTCCCCCATTTTCAGTCAGAGCCCCCACTGCATCCTACATTTTTGTATTCTATTCTATGATTTATACTTATATGGAGCTACTGGGGCAGGGACAAGGATCTTATTCTGCTCAGCATTCTCAGCCTGTTGTAAATGGTAGGTGGTGTATACACATTTGTCGAATGGCCAAGTGCATTGTAGGTAGGAATTCTACCCTTCCCACCTCTTCCCTCAGCCTCATCAAATCTCAGCCTAGGAGGGAAAGCTTAGTCAGATCAGCAAACATCACAGAGGATGGAATGGAGACATTTGCATAACAGGTGGGCATTCCCGCTTCACCTGGCACCTCAGCCAGCACCACTTCCAAAGGGAGCCGACCCTTGCTGAGTGCATCTCTGGGCTCTGCTTGGGTTCTGCCAATGGGAAACCCTGGCAAGAATTTGGAGGCTGGGGGAAAAGGGAGATCTAGGTATTTCTTCCCCACTCCTCCTTGCTTTGATTTCACATCACAAAGGTTAGCTACACAGAACAGGATGGAGAAGATGGAAAAGGGATCTGGAAAAGGACATGCTGAAAATAATTCACCCAGAGATTGTTTCTGAGATGGGAATTTCAGAATGTTTGTCATCATGGCTCAGCTTGGGGAGAGGAGGCCCTGGGTCTAGTGCACTGTTGGGGTCTCCAGACCCTCATGTTGGCCTGTTCTCAGCCCAGAATACTGCCCAGGGGAAAAGATCAGCTCACCAGGATAGACACAAGTAGGCAGGGACTGAAGCAGAAGGCTGCCAAGTCTTTACCCAAAGCACATCTATATGGAAATGCTCTCTTGATGTAATACTTGATGTGGTTTTAAAGCTGTTTGACAGGCATTATTTCATTTGATTCCCTAATAACCCTTTGAGATAAATATTTTACTGATGGGGAAACTGACTTAGTCAACACTGCTGGACAAGTAAACTGTGAAAGAAAACAACAACCGGAGTCTACTGATATTCAGGCTGTGATCTTCCTGGTCTATGATCTATATCATCTTTAACTGATCTGGGCTCCATTTCCAGCTGCACCCCTTATAAGTTGTGTGACCTTGGTCATGTGACTCAACCTCTCTGTATATCAGTTTCTTCATCAATAAGACAAACACAATATGTTTCTTTCCTGATTTTTGTAAAGACTAAGTGAGAGAGAGGGGACTCTCAGAGGCTGGGAGAGGAAGCTACGTTTGGGGCTTTCCACGGGAAGCCAAGACCAGACCTTCTGCAGGGCCTGAAACTGGTGGAAGGACCTGGGAGGGGCCCTCACACCTGACTAATGGAGTGTGTGAGCCCTGGGCTTATACAATCACAACCAATAGGAGGAACCTCTGACCCCCACCCTCACCCACTGACTAAATGGTACATGCCACCAGCAGGCAGGTGGGAACTAAGCCAGATTTTTATTTATTTTTATTATTTTATTTTTTATTACAGTTTACATTCAACACTGTTTTGTAATAGCATTAGATGTACAACACAGTAGATAGACATTCATATATGTCAGCAATGTTCAACCGGTGTGCCCCAAGAATTTTTAAAACATGCAACTATTTAGTCAGGGGTACTGACCTCTTTTTCCTTACATTGTCAAATTTTAAAAAAATGACAACAGCCAACACAACACTAGCCATCCAGTATGAATGAATCAAAATTATGCCTATTTTATTTTTGTTAGATCGGCAAAAATATATGTTTTGGTGTGCTGCAGAATTTTAGTAATTAGTTTATGTGTGCCATGAGATGAAAATGGATGGTACAGGTTACACAGTGTTCCCTCCGATAATTCAAGTGCCCACCTGGGTCCATCAATAGTTATTACAATACTAGAGGCCCAGTGCATGAAAATTCATGCACTGAAGGGGGAGTCCCTCAGCCCAGCCTGCCCCTCTCACAGTCTGGGAGCCCTCAGGGGTGGGAGGTAACCCGGCAATCAGGGGAAGGCAACGCCCCCATCACACCTCTGCTGCTGCAGCCCTGGGTGGCTGGGCAGCCGACATCCAAGGCTTTCCTGTGCTTTGGGCTGGCCCTGGGTGGCTGGGCAGCCGACATCCAAGGCTTGCCTGCACCTCGGGCCTGCCCTAGGCGGCTGGGGGCCTGAAGGCAGATCTGGCCGCACCATGTGCCTGCCACCCCCCGGCGGGGCTGAAAGGACTGGGGGACTCTGGCGGAGCTGAGGGAACTGGGTGCCTCCATCTTGTGGCTATGGGCACCACCATCTTTGTGACGGTGAGACGGTCAATTTGCATATTCCCTCTTTATTAGATAGGATTGTTAACTATATTCCCTATTCTTTATTTATTTTTTAATGTTTTTAATTGATTTTAGAGAGAGAAGAGAGAGGGAGAGAGAGAAACATTGATTGGTTGCCTCCTGTATGCACCCTGACCAGGGATCGAACCCACACCCAGGCATGTGCCCTGACTGGGAATCGAACCAGCAACTTTTCAGTGCATGCAACAGTGCTCAACCAATTGAGCCACATTGACCAGGGCTATATTCCCTATTCTTTACCTTACATCCCCAGGCCTATTTTGTAACGATTTAGTACTTCTTAATCCCATCACCTTATTTTACCCTGCCCAACCCCCCCCCCCCCCAACACTCCTCCCTTAACACCCCTCCCCTCTGGAATCCATCAGTTTGTTCTCTGTATCTATAAGTCTGTTTCAATTTTGTTTGTTCATTTATTTTGTTCTTTAGCTTCCACATGTACTAGTAAGTGATATCATATGGTATTTGTCTTTCTCTATCTGGCAGAACTAAGCCAGATTTAATTTTATTTTTTCTAAAAAAGGAAATTGGTCTTTTCTATGAAAAATTAAATGAAATAATTATGCAAAAAAGAATACCTACTTTTCACAGTTAGTAACACTTAGTAAATGCTACATACTATTTCCTTCCCTATATTTAACACTAATGGGTAAGTGTTAGGAGGATTCTTGGACACAGCCTGTTCCTTCCTGGGCCTGGTGGGTATGCAGGTTGGTGAACAGCAGTAGCTTGCCCCCCAGGGACAGGGCAGGAGCACCGTAGCTCACTCTCTGGGTTGGCAGCATTGTCCCGGGAAGATGCAGAAACTGGCAGCTGGGTGAAAACTGGAGGCAGAGCTAGTCGGCCCCACTTGCCTGTAGGTCACCTCCACACCAGGGGTGGCCATCCCAGCACGTGTGTGTGTGTGTGTGTGTGTGTGTGTGTGTGTGTGTGTGCCCACTGCATGCCCTAATGAAAGGGGAGCTAGCTAGGCCTCAGCTGTTCTCCACACTCTGGGTCCAGGGAGACAAACGTGGGCAGCAGTGGTGGTGAGTGTGAAAAAGACCTGTGCCCTCGTCCTCTACACACCAAAGCCCGGTGAGGAGGCAAGTGCCCACAGGCACCGGAAGTGCAGAAAGAGCTTGGAGAACGAGGGCAGAAGACGCTCTCTCTCTCATGGCAGCCCAGGGAAAGGCAGTCATGTGACAGCCTCCTACTTGGAGCCCCCCACCCGCAGAGCTGCCACCTCCATTCAGCAGCCTAGGTCCTGCAGGCTAATTAAGTTAATAAAAAAGAACTAAAGGAATGGAGGAGGGAGCTGGAGGAGGGGTGGGGGATGCTGCTGTGCTCAGAGTTAGGAGGTGTGAAAAATGAATCTGTCTTTCAATTACCAGCTTTGTAACCCCAGGCACATTACTACAGGAGGCCTGTTTCTTCACCTGAAAAATATGAATCACAGTCCTCGTGTCACAGGGAGGACCCTTGTGAAAACCACAATTATCATATGCACACTAATGTCTGCACTACCCACACCAAGAAACATGCTGTTTATTTTGCTCATGGCTGTGCTCCTAGCCCCGCAGGGCCTGGCCATAGCAGGTGCTCAATAAATGTTTACTCAGACCTGAGCAAAAAGTACCGTCACAGCTCCCGGTGTTTTTAAGGGCATTTTGAGGGGCGATACTATGAGGAACAAAAGGTTAGGAGAGCCTGAGGGTGAAGGCTGCCTGGTGGAGAGAGTCTGGGAAGCTGCTCCCCGCAGTGAGCCTGGAGCAGAGCAGAAGTGTGCCTGGGGGCAAAGTCCCAGGGATCCCAGGGGTCCCAGGTGAGGCTTCCTCTCTGGGCACCTTGCCCAGTTGCATAGGACCAGCTCTGTGTCCCACCAGGTACCTGGGAATCCATGAGAAGGGCACCCAAAACAGCACAACCCCTGACAGCACTGGAAGGACAAATGGGAACTTGCCAAAATTTTGTTTTAAAAATACCAGCAATAATAAAATAGGGGGGAATAATCCATTGACCTCCAGTGCCTGCACATAAATATCGACAGTATCAAAAAAGCAAAAAGAAAGGTGTTTTTTGTTGTTGTTGTTGTTTTCTACAACAAATGACCATCATACTGCATGTTCAAGACAAAATTTCCTATTTGTTTGAGTATCTTATTAAAGAATCAGAAAGGCATAACTAGTGCATTTTTTTGGACTGGGTTTGCCGAATCTCAATCACGCAAAGCATTCACCGTGTCCCTCATTTTTCTTTTTAAAGTTTTAAAAATGTTCCATTAGATTTGGAAAATGTCTTCTTGTAGGAGGAATCTTTTGAAGGACCTTCTATTTTTTAATTGGGTAAATTTAGGTTTTATACTGACATGAAATGACAGAAAGGACTTACAATATTTCAGCATCTAAATTTGGCAAAACATTCAAAACAATTTTGTCTCAAAATATTTGTCAAAACAGATAATAAAAGTGTTGGCAAGGATTCAGAGACATTGGAATTCCCTTACATGCTGATGGGAGTGTAAAATGGTGCTGCCACTTTGGAAAACAGCCCAGCAGTTCTCATTTTTTAAGAAATAAAGTTTTCTCTCCCTGCACTGGAGTCTCTGTTTGTAACACTTCGAACACCAGGGGAGTCTCAGCCAGGCTGGGAGACTGACCACCCAACTAACATCCTTCTCTTTGTCCTACAGTATGTGTCCAGCTGTCGCGCCGTCACTCAGAGTGCACCAGAGCAAGGCGGCTGCCCCCATCACCACCTCACCCACCACCACCGCCACCACCACGCCCACCACCACCCCCGCCACCACGCCCACCCTCACCACCTCCGCCACCAGCAGGCAGAGCCGCGTGCCCCCCAGGTGACGCCCTGCCTGTGCCCCCTGTTCTCCTGCCAGTGGGAAGGCCACTTGGAGGTGGTGGTGCCCCACCTGCGGCAGACGCACAGAGTGGATATCCTGCAGGGAGCTGAGATCGTCTTCCTGGCCACGGACATGCACCTCCCGGCCCCGGCTGACTGGATCATCATGCACTCCTGCCTCGGCCACCACTTTCTGCTGGTGCTCAGGAAACAGGAGAGGCATGAAGGGCACCCCCAGTTCTTTGCCACCATGATGCTGATTGGGACCCCCACCCAGGCCGACTGCTTCACCTACCGCCTGGAGCTCAACAGAAACCATCGGCGTCTCAAATGGGAGGCCACCCCCAGGTCCGTCCTTGAGTGTGTGGACTCGGTGATCACTGATGGGGACTGCCTCGTCCTCAACACCTCGCTGGCGCAGCTCTTCTCCGACAACGGCAGCCTTGCCATCGGAATCGCTATCACTGCGACAGAGGTCTGCTCCTCAGAAGCCGAGATGTGAAGTGAGAGGCCACCGGAGGCTCACACACAGCCACCCTCCTCCAAGAAACTCTGCTTGTGCCCTTCGGATCTCCAGATTGCAGGACTCCACACTCCTTTTTATTCTTCTTCCTTCACCACCCTCCCTTTCTTCCTTCCCTTCCTCCCTCCCTCCCTTCCTTCTTTCTTTTTTTTTTTTGTCTCAGTGCTTAGGGGTATCTAGTATTTGTCTGCCTTGGGCATTATATTATGTAAACATCCTGTGATTCAAGATCTTGGTGAAATGTTTGTCCTGATTAGTTGGAATAGTTTTACAGAACATTTTTAATTAATTCAATCAGAATGATTATTATCACCCCCCAATTCCCTTCTCCATGGCTTCCAAAATGAGCAAAATTCACCGAGACCACGAAGCAGACTGTTGGGGTTGAAAAGAGACTTGGTATCCAAACCATTTCTTCCTTCTCTTTTCAGTCTATTTCAGGGCGAGCTAACTCTGAAGTGTGTGAGAACAGCAGGTTGGGAAGGGACCTGGCCAGTTCAGAGATATATTTCAGACCAAGCAGACACAACCTCAGGGTCAGAGCTGTGCTGCTGGATGTGAGGGGATGGTGTCTCCTCAGAAGGCCAGGCAGGGCCCAGGGCTGGAGGCGCCATCACACAATGAGTCTTCTGGTTGGTCCCAGGGCTCAGGGGAGGGGCAGACATTGAGCCCTCTTTGGCAGGCTGCTGTGGGCTTGCTCCCGGCCTGTGCCATCTTTTCCTGCTCTGGAATCAAAGTCCTCATATTTCTGGTGCTTTCTTGAAAACCTTTTTGCCCTCCTCTGAGCAAGTAGTAAAATAAAATGGGCAAAATGTGGGGAAAGAGAAGCAGCTGAAAAAAACACGGATAAAATTAATCTCCCACCTCTGGGAGGGTGTTCTCTACTCAGAGTGTTTTATTATCAAGTTAAAAATCCATCAGTCCTTTCACTAGCTTGGAGCACTTTTCTATCACACAAAGAACCCCCTGTGCTCTTGGAACCTTATAAACCAGAACTACAGCTCACCATCAGATACGAGGAGCTTGGCATCTGTGCCCAGATCCTTGGACCTGGAGGGCTGGCCCAGGTCCTCATACATCAGGGAGGGTCCTCTTTCCTTTCCTTACTTTCCAAATTGCTCCGAGGGCCCCATTCAGTGCACAGATGTTATCACTGGTCAAGTGTGCATTCGGCACCCTGCTGCAGTGTGACTGAAATCCATGTTGCCTCTAGGTAGATGGCTTTCTCTTATTTGGTTGTTAGAACAATTTGTCAACATCTTATTGAAATCTCTCATATGTTTGAAGAAAATAGCATGTTTAGCCAACTTGGTCTCTTCTGTTCAAGGTGGAATATCTGTAATCTTTCCCCATAGGCCCTCTTCTCCCTTATTTTTGTCATTTTTGTGCTCCCCTTGGCCACTCTCCAGTCACTGAAGAAGCATGGCCCCAACCCCCACACAATGCTCATCAGAACCTAGTGGGCCTTTCGCCAACCAGTGCTTCACTCCCTCACCCCAACCCCTTGGCTGGATCCTGGCAGGCCTCCAAGTGAGTACTTAGTTTCAGGCAGCTTGCCCTGGCTGGTCACCAGCAATCTTTTCCCCACCAAAAATAATCAGCCCTGAAATACAATGCCCTTCCCTTAATGACCAGGTAATCCTCTAGCGATCTGTCTCACCAACCCACACTGCAAGCACCTGAAGGGTGGTGCCAGTCAACAGAAGATTTAATCACAAAGCCCCTCTAGTCACACAGTGATTGCGAGGACCCTGGGGCTGAGGTTTCCTTCTTTTAGAGCCGTAAGGGGACCAATAAATATTGTGTCACTGACTGAGATAAGCATCAGATTACAACCTCCTTTCTCTTAGCTTAGTCAGAACATCCTACCAAGGCACCAGTGCCCCCCTCAGATCATACAGATGGTCAAGAATGGAAGCAAACTGGGGCCAGTTGATCAGCACTGGAGAGACTGGCTCACCTGGCTCCTTGCTTTTTCCCAGGCCCTCGCCTGGAACCTAAGACCTCCTTGGCTGCAAGTCTTCTCCCTCTGGAAGCCACAGTTCCTCCCCAGTTTCTGCTACTCAACTGCTTTTATAGCATTTGTGTAGCATCACAGGTGCCCAGATAAATGAACAAACAAAACCTCAATTAGAGCATAATTAGTGTTCATGGAGCCTTAGGACTCCTGCAAACATTACCTCTGCCTTCTTGTTGTGCCAAGTTACCTGAGCCAAATGGGAATAACTTCACATTATTGCTATTGCTCACAAGACTGTATTATGAATAAGTGATCCTAGCTAGGAACCGGTATTTTTGATTACTAGAAACTTTTAGCATAAAGGGTAGAAATGCGTTATTTTCATCCATCTATGGTGCTGTCAAGAAGGCCTGCTCTCCATATCCACATGTGAAGAATGGAAGCTAAAGGAGCCAACTGAAAACAATGACAGAGACAAGAGATTTGTTCCAAGAATAGGGACAGAGATTGGTACCAACAAAGCACATTGTGTTGAGCTTTACAGTCATAAAGGGCTCCCTCATTTCAGTCTCAGGTTAATCCTCATTAGTATCTTCAGTATGCTAAAAAATAAATAAATAAATAAATAAAAGGTTCAGAGACATTAAATGACCTTTCCAAAGTCGCATATCAAGTGGTTGGGACCATGACTAGAACCCGGTAAATCAACAGCAAACTTGGTGTTCCTTCAATAGGAAGTCTGACCCAAAATATTCAGCAATGTTCCCACCTCATCAGTGGGATGTGGGCCTGAGGGTCAATTGGGTCTTGGTCCTGGGATACTTGGGGAAGCAGACAGACAGATTTGCTTTTAGAGGCATCTCAGCTTGAAGAACTGGTCAACTTGGAAGTGGGGGAGAGGGGAGGATGGAAGGGCGTTTGAGGTGTGGGAACCCTCATGTATCTGATCACCCACTCCAGGCTCCTCATTCTTAGACTCCCAGAGCCCTGGGAACTGGTTGCCTCATTCCATTCCATTCAGGTGCTGCCTTAATGATGCACCCAGGAGTATTTGCATTTTAAAAGCAGGCCTGGGGAGAAGGCAGCATTTAACAGCAAGAAGTGAGTCACCAGTATTTGAACTTTAGGCACCTGTGAGGGCAATTATTTCAGGAGGTGTGGAGAGAAGGACACTTCTGCCCCTGCAGCTGACCCTACATAAATGGTTGTTGCAGAAATGAAGGTCAGGCTACACAAAGAAGATTGTCTTTAAAAATCAATCTCTGTGTGATCTTGCACCTGAGACAGATCCTATCATTGCAAGTACTGTAGACAGTTTAGAAATAGATCAGGTTAATAATAATAGTAATACTCATGGCTACCATTTATTGAGGGTTTACTATGTGACCCAGTGGGCTAACTACTTAGAGTATATTATTATCTCATTTAATTCCCATAACAACCTTATGAAGCAAGTACATTATTGTACCCACAAGAAACTTAAGCTAAGAGAGGTTAGACACTTGTTTAAGATTGCAAAGCTAACAAATGGTAGAGCTGAGCCTGAATCCCAGTACGTCTAGCTCCAATGTCCAGGCTTCTGACCAATACCAACTATGTCATTTCAATGAATTCATGGACCAAGGCTAAGAAGGATCTTAAAGTCTGAATGGCACAGAGGCCTTTTGTACTTTAATACTAAATGTGCCCTTTTATTTCTCCTTTTTCTCCCTTTTTCCCCAGCCCAAGACAGAGTGGTGTGCTAAAGGTGGCTTGTATACCAGCTGTTAAATTTTTAAAAGATGTTTATGAGACAAATGTTAAACACAGCCATTATTAAAAATTAAATTGTATAAATTTGCAATTAAATAAGTTATTAAACAAAGATAATACTCAAAACTCTCCACTTCCTAATTATTTCACTACTTTTTATTTTCTGTGCTCTAGAGGTTATTTCCATCTATCATAACTATATGGTGAGCACACTATATAATGATGTCCTACAGCACATCTCCCAACTCCACATTTAGTGACATGGCTTGAAATTGACCTTGGGGGTAGTATTTATACCATGGAAATTGGCAAGTGTTTTTAACTAGGCTTTTACCTCTCAGAGATATAGTCTTTAAACAGTAACCAGCACACCACTACCTAGACAACTCTGATATACACAGGACTTTAAATGATGAAGCAAGATCCTGGTGGCCACACTGACAGGGGCACAGTTGACAGGAAAGGCAGTGAAACAGAAAATTATTGGGAAAATACAAACTGTTCTACCGAAGAGACTGAGGCTTCTAAGTTGCTTCAAGAGCATTCCCTGCCCTATTCCAGACCCTTCTTTATTGCTGTTAGTGTGGGAAGTTTTATTCAATGACTTTCACAGAAATATCATGGCCCCACAAACCAGCCTATTGGCCATCCCAATCCAAAAAGTAAAACCAGACTCTACAACACTGGTATCTCCTGTTACTTGTTCTTATAGGTCATCTTTCTTATCTCTACATGTAGACCAAAACACAATCTAAAGAAATATTTTTAAATTAGAGATTTAAAAATATCCAACACCTGAGAAGGGCAAAGTGAGCAGTGGTTTCAAACATCACCTAAAATATGGAACCACCAAAATAGGACCCTTACAAAGCACCAAGCTGAGAGACAGGAAAGGGAATGAATCAAGAAATGAGTCCCATGAAGAACAGAGCACAGCAGCTTACCTTTCTACTCTGGCTGCTTCACTTCATTGCAACCCAAAAAGGACCCTGTTCATAGTCCATAGCCCAGAGCAATACTCTTTCTAAATTAAGGGCATGGTTCCCACTAGGATAAAAGTCACAGGAAACTGCAGCCTGAGTGCCTTGAAACAGGCAGAATCTCCAAGCTCAATAGTGAATCAGTTACTCTGATCCCAGTGGTTTCAATGTAAGGGAGGGAAGAGGTGAGGCTTGTTGAAGCTTCCACTTGGATCCAATTTCTGGTGGAAGGGAAAGGGACTGTGGACTAGACATCAAAGAATTATGCTCTGATTAAAGTTCAGCTGTAAATATATTGAAGTTCAGCTATAAATAGCATCAAGAGTAAGAGCAGAGTCACCTAGTGGATTGTTAAACCTTCAGATTATTTGTTCGAAACATTTCCTTCAAGAATTGGTGAGTTCTCCATTGTGTTAAACTGGAGAATGGCCAGTCAAGACAAACAATGAAAAGAGGTCCAAGAGACCTGTTGCAGATAAGCATTGATTTTTTTCCCCCAAAGCAGGTTATCACATGGGTTGCCTGCGTGGGTTAGTTTGTCTTTTCCAATATTGTGTGGAAATATTTTGCCTTGTGTGCTAGTCTATAAATACTCCTCTCCCCTTTTTAACCTTTTTTTAAAGTTATTGAGATAAGGAAGAGAAAGGTAATCAAGAATCATTTTACTTAACCTAAATTGATGTATATTTAATTTTCTAGACTTTCTTATGATGTTAAAGACAAGAAGAAACAAACTGAGAATACTACTTTATCTCTACCCTGTCTCCCATGAGAAATGTCATTAAATTGCATTTGATATTGTTTCCTTGAACCCTTCAGAGTGGCTCTATGTTATTGTTGCTTTTTTCCCCCTCCCCATAGGCTACTGTGCAATATGAGAGAATAGAAATGAAATGCTACAAGGGAGAGTACAATTATCAGAGATTTGCCAGCTGCCACATTTGACTTATGTTTCATTATCTCCCTCCCCTTTTCACTTTGCCTCCATTTTAAAGTTATAATTGGATGTAGGAAAGAAAGTGCTACTGGAGGTGAATAAAAGCCCTAGCAACTAATTTGCTCCCAATACTCTTTCAGCATATGGTGCGAACCACTGGATTGCAAAGAAAGAAACAGGCCATCACTCCCAGCCCCCCTTCCTCCCTGTGCCCCTTATCTCAGCTGTCCCCTGCCTCTTCCAGATGACAGTGTCTCTGAAATTTACTTCTAGGCCTATCAGATCAGTTGTCAAGGGAGCCTTCATGGTTTAATTCTTTAATTTCAGGCTACTGTTACTTACTGGCAAGATCAGGATTGAGCAAGAGTTCTAATCCTATTGCCTGTCAATTCCTTTTAACCTCTATCTTCTTCCCTACCTTCTTATTCCCCGGCCTGTTTCCTGCTCTCACAAAGGCTTACAGAGAATGTCTTGAATTGATCTGAGCGATCAAAACTGACCGAATGGCCAGCATGAATATTCATGAGCCAGGTTAGTTTTCAGGCCATGTCCTCTTTGGGGACAATTCTGAACCCCACAGTGTCTCAGATATTTGCCCTTCCCTTCAAAATACCCGCAAAGATGTGCAGTGAGGTTGCCAGTGCTAGAGAGAGACTCCACGGGAGGGAGGGAGAAACTGACCTCCCGAAGTTCGGCAGGGGAGGGCGGCCAAGTCCAGGCTCCACTTTGAAATCTAGAGTTTCAGTTCCCAGACGTTAGTGTATTTAAGCATTATCTGGAGAACTCGATTTCTGGGCCCCAGAACCAGAGATTCTGATTCAGGAGATCTGGGGTAGAATCAGGATTCTGATTTTTAACACTCTCCCCATGGGATTCTGCTGTGGGTGTTTGGCTGACCATTAGATTCTCAGACCCAGAGCTGAACACACTGGTGAGAAAAGGGATCACAGAAAACAAAGGAGCAGATAAAGTCACCTGAAGAAGAGAGCTGATCCTTCTGCAAGAAGGAGGAAGGCGGGAAAGGAGGTGAGGGAAGTGGCCACAGTCACATTCTGATGGAGCGGGAAATGGAGTTCCCAAAGGATAGCAGAGGTGAGCTGAGCAGGAGTTTCCTACAAACAAGCGGTAGAGAGAACTCTTCCTCCTCATTTGGGGCTGGAGGGCAGCGGTGGGCAGATACCACCCAGGACCAGGGCTGGCTGACGGAGGCCCCTGGGGAATGCTCCCCACTGCTAAGTGCCACACAGTGACAAGCCTGCAGCCTGGTGCGGCTGAAGAGACTGCATAAGTCTTCCCTGTGAGTACAGAAGGGGCTCATCCTGCAAATCCTTGCCAGGTGGGGATGATAATTCATTTTTCAATCTCTGCCCCCAGCCCCGACAGGGAGTTACCTACCAAATCCCCAGGGAGGCATTTATTTCCCTGAAAATCTCCCCAGAATGGCTGAGCGGGCAGCATGTTTTAGGGCCCTCAGTGGGGACTGTGAACTATCAGGCAGCTTTCCCAGCAGCTCAGAGCTAAGCCCCACGTAAGCCTTGCCTACTGGGTGAGAGAGAAGGAAATCACTAAACTAGTTTCTTATCAGCCTGGAGGTAGACAAGATATACTCTGCACACCCTCTGCAAGGGGCAGGCGGGAAGAGCAGCTGCTAAGGATCAAAGTGGGAGCACAGATTACCACCCAGCTAGGAAATCATTGAATTTTCTATTCTCTCTGCCTCTGCTTGGGTTCCAATTCCAGTTTCATTAACACACAGGGGGTGGACATTTCTTGATTTTTATATCTTACTTGACATACAATTTTGGGAATTGCAGATTTGAAAATGAAACACAAATAAACAGGACATTAAGCACCCCAATGCATCAAAATGCTTTCAGATAATTTAAAAGGTGAGCTCACCACCTATCTCGTCCTGCTTCCTGCAAACCATGACAGAAGGTCTAGGCCCATCAGCGAAACTCAAACAAGGTCTCCTGAAAGTCTGCGTCCAGTTCCTAAACATCCAGCTCTGCCCTGACTAAAGATACTGTAGAAAAGAGGAATCAGAAAAGCCCTTTCTGCTGGGGCTGGTTTAGAGAAGAGGCCACACCCTGTGGGTCAGACTCAGCTGGGGAATGGGCCCTGGAGGGGAGAAAGTAGAGAACAGGCCTATTCAATTTGAATTTCAGATAAACAACAACAACAAAAAATGTTTAGCATACAGGTATCTTGTGAAAAATTTGGGACATAGTTATACTACAAAAGTATTTCTTGTTTGCCTGAAATTCAAATGGAACTGGGTGTCCTGTATTTGCTAAATCTGGCAAACCTAGGAGGCAAGAGTCCATAAAGTACATTCATTTATTTTTATTTTAAAGAGAGGAAGGGGGAGAGAAGGAAAGAGAGAGAGAAACATTGACTGGTTGCCTCCCTCATGCCCCAGAATGGGGATCTAACCCACTACCTGGGTATGTGCCCTGAGCCGGAATTGAACCCGCCACCTTCTGGTGTATGGGACACTCCAACCAACTAAACCACACTGGCCAGAGCAAAGTGCATTCATGTTATTATGGGTGCAGGTTGATTCCCACAGCAATCACTCAGGAGGGAGGGTTCCCCCTTTCTAACTGCCCCCAACCTGGGGAACCAAGAATATGTCTAATTCCCTCTGGTCACAGGGTTGGTGGGATCATGTTCCTTAGGCCCCACGGCCACACCCATGCTGGGCCTGTTTTATGGGTGGACAATGTTTGGCTGGAACTTGCCTCTGCTTTAAAACAAGACCAAAATAGCTTTAGATCCCAGAGTCTCCGAGGCACTTAGGCAGAAGGTGGTCAAGGCAATTTAGAAATAGTCCCAAGTCTCTGTGTTCCACCGAGAAGAATGCTTCAGGAAGGATGTCTGGGTGCCTTTATCTTGAGTAACAATGTTTTCTTGCATGCCCACTATATGTTGGGGTTGCTGAAGAACACAAAGCCGAGAGGAGACCAGGTCCCTTCCCCTCAGGAATTTCTCAGTGAACTCAAGGAGACAAACAAATGTACTCACATCGGCATCAAGAAACTGTCAAGCACTCAGCAGTTCCCACGCAGCAGCCCAGTAGCTGAAGTTGGACTTGGCCAGTAAGAAAACAATGAGCCCAGATGTACTTAGCTTAGTATTTACAGCAATAAGAACATTTTGGCGCAGGTTCCCTGAGCCCCGATTCTAATAGGATGATATAATGAGGGCAAGGCATTGCGTGTGCACAAAGTAGGTGTTGCATTGAAGGAGATTAGGAGAATGATATGAGGTTGCTTACCATCTTCTCTAGGGAGAGGGAGTGTTTTGGGTTATTTTAACCCTGGATTGTAAGCCAATCTTTCTGAGAAGGGAATACCTCTATCTTTACTATCCAGAAATGTAAATAAATTTGCTCTAAAATGAGTCTCAGTCTCCATGCTTATATTAACATTCCTGAAAAGATAGTTCTGAAGCAAATTGGGTTGTTCATGCCTATATGTATAGACACATGAGAGATCCATGGACAATTGTCTACCAACGACAATCTTCATAGCATCAGGATTAAAGTTTATGTAATACAGCGTTATATAATACAGTCTTACATAATACAGAGTTTAAAAAATGATTAACTGACATGGTTTGATGAAGAACTTGATGTCAGCTGATATAGGAATTAAATACTTCATAGCCCTGTCCAGGTGGCTCAGTTGCTTGGAGCGTTGTCCTGCACACAGAAAGGTGACAGGCTCGATTCTGGGTCAGGACACATACCTAGGTTGCAGGTTCGATCCTCAGGCAGGGCACATACAGGAAGCAACTGAACAATGTTTTTCTCTCACATTGATGTTTCTCTCTCTCTCTTTCTCTCTCTCTC